CCCCGCCAAGGCCACTAGAGATGGTATCTCTCGGGTGTATTCAGATCTCTTTCTCTGTCTGTCCGACACCAGAAATGTTTCATCTCCTAATTTGTTCCTTGTGTTTGGCCGCCTCTTCCCACTATCTAGCTTCATTACATAGCATTCGCTGTAGTTGAACTCTAGTAGCCACTCGACAATTTGTGGAGTCTCAGGTGATTTGTGTCGAATGCTTTCTGACAAACAGGAAAGTTTACAAGCTTCTCGGTCCTCTTTCTCTTTTGACTGATTTTTTTAAACTTTTAATATATTTTTCAAGTCGGAAATTTCTTTCACTGTATCCATGCTGATGATTGGAGACAAAGTTCAGCAGTTCAAAGTGAACTACGAATCCCATTCTGATGCCTCTATTAATTTTCAAGTGATGAGTGATACTAAATCAATAGTCAAGTGGTTGTTATCTTCAAGATCACATCAGCCATTTTCCAACTATTTGGTAACTCTTTCGCATCATGCATGTCTGCGTTCAATCCCCGACCGTCCAAGTGCATGGGCACCATTCCTTCCCCCCCCCCGTCCCATCCCAAATCCTTATCGTGACCCCTCTTCCAAGTGCTATATAGTCGTAATGGCTTGCTGCTTTCCCTGTTAATTACCTATCTCCATTTTTCCAACGGGTTCAGTACCATAACAAAGGGTCTACCCAATGCCCTTCTCCTTCCCCTATTTAGTACCCATGACGAGAGCTTATCTGGCCTTGTGACTTTCATCATAAACCAGTTCCTCTGTATTCTTGCTGAGGATGTTACATCTATTTTAGTCTTTCCTGTGGGTTTGTTTGTGTTCCCGGGGCTCATACCTCTTGTCACAGGTCAAGTTAAATTCATTAATTAATTTTTAGGGGTTAGCGCCAAGCCATTACGACTATATAGCATTGGGAAGGGGTCAGGATAAGGATTTGGGATGGGACGGGGGAAAGGAATGGTGCCCCAACCACTTGGACGGTCGGAGATTGAACGCAGACCTGCATGAAGCGAGACCGTCGCTCTACCGTCCAGCCCAAGTGGTTGGACGGGTCAAGTTAAAACTCACATGCGTTCGTAAAACTTTCATGTGTTGTGTAGATGCTGGACTCCCGACTCAAGACAGAAAATGTACTTTCTGAGATGCCTGTGTCTCCTCTGTGTTTCTAGTTTCCACTCATGTTCTCTCCTCCTTAATTTAAACATTGCTTCGATGTCTACTTTGTCAATTCTGTTAAGTATTATATACGTTGTTATGTCTGCCTTCTTTATTGTGGTGTAGCGAGGCCCAGTTCCTTCAGTCTTTCTTCATAGCTCAGTCTCCTCAATTTTAGAACGAGTCTTCCTGGATAATTTTGTACCTTTTTAGTTTTTTGTTTTGTTTCCCTTGGTAAGGGTTACATGCTGGGGCAACAACTCGATAATAGGGCTCACAAAGGCTGTATACAGCGCTCGGAAGGGATCATTATCCAAGTTGGTGAAGGATAACAGGACGTTTGCTAGTATAGCATATCCTGCCCTCGTTATCCTGCTGATGTGTGCCTCTGGTGATAGATCTCCAGTTATATCCACTCCTAACTTTTTCTCTTTTTCAGAAGTTGGAAGCTGCCTTCCCTTCATCCTGTACTGTATTTGATGTCTTCTTCCAATTCCTATCCTCATAATCATGCATTTGTCAGGGTTGAAGTCTAGTAGCCACTTCTCAGACCATCTCAGTAGACTGTGTAGGTCATCTTGTACTGCAGTCCACCTCAATTCTAATTCGCCTCATTAGCCTAGCGTCTTCAGCAAACATTGACAAGAACGAGCTTACTGCCTCCATTAGATCGTTTATATTTATTAGGAACGGGATGGGTCTTAGTATGGACCCTTGAGGAATGCCACGTGTTACGTCTCTCTAGTCTGATACCTCTCCTCTTACCATAGCCCTTTCACAAATCCACAAGGGCCGTGACGAGGGTTCGAACCTGCGGCCGAGAGGATCTCAGACGCTGCCTTAATCGACATAACTCTTTGCCTTCTGTCAGAAAAACATTCCTTCACCCACTTTTTTGCACTTTTCTCTATACATCAGTGTCTTTTTTTCTAATTTTCATAGGATTCGCTTGTGAAGATCAGCGTCAAAAGCTTTCTGGCAATCCAGGAAAATGCAGTCTGCCCAGCCCTCTATTTCCTGTTTGACTGTTGTCATCTTGTTGTAGAACTCTAGTAAGTTGGTCGAGCAAGATTTTCCTTCAATGAATCCATGTTGATGCTTGGAAACAAAATGTGTGTTCTAAATGATCGACAAGTCTTCATTTACTTTGTCTCTCTTAATATCTTGCAGGAAATACTTGTTAACGACACCGGTCTATAGTTCAGTGTCTCCTGTGTTCATCCTTTCCTGTACACAGACAGTACATGTTCCAAACATCATATAAATCCACAAATTTGTTGTGCGGAATTCAAGGCTACAAGCAAGGGGCTCACACAGTGCTGCAGCTGCCTCTTTTAGTATCCCTGGTGAGATCTTGTCAGAGCTTGTGGCTTTCATCACCTCCAGCTCCTCTAATTGTTTCCTTGCCTCCTCTGGTGGTACTTCTATATCGACCAGTCTTGCTTCCATTAACACCTGTTTCATTTAGTAGTCACTGGTCTTAGGGTCACTTCTAGTTCTATCTTAAAAAAATTCTTCGCGCACTTCTCTATCATTCTTTGTGTTCCCGCCGCCTCTTTTGCATAGCCAGATCACTTATGTATTTACCAACATCTTCCTCCGCTTGTGGTTGTATTGCAATTTAGGCTGATCCTTGGCCTTGAGTGCTATATATATATCATTTTCATACTGCTTCTCTGCTGCTCTCCGAGTTGCTATATATTCATTCCTCTCTCTCTTGTATACACATTGTGGTTTTCCTCTCTACCATGCTTCATGTATATTTTATCCGAGCTCTTTTACTTCTCTTTACCGCTAACTGTTGTCTATTAAACCATGGGGCTATTTTTTTTTCTCGACCCCTTTATCCCTTATGGACTGTATAGACCTCCTTTCTGGTTCTTGGTATTGTCTCGTTTTGATGAGGTTCATCGTACCTTGTGATGTTTTTGTTCTCTTAGCTCTATTTCCCGTGGTATTCTCTCTCTAGGAATTATCTGACCTTTCTGGCAGGCGCCATTATGGAAAGCTGTAGTCTCTTCACTTCTCTTCCTCTAGCCACAGTCTTCATGATAACTACAGAGTCAAATATCAATACACAATGGTCACTTTTGCCTCGTTGGCATAACATGGTCGGTGCTCGCAATGTCCATTTTGCTTTGGGTAAGACGCGCTTTGCATAAGACTCGTTTCGCGTAAGACGTGCTTTGCATAAGGTGTGCTTTGCGTAAGGTGTACTTTGCATAAGGTGTGCTTTGCGTAAGGTGTGCTTTGCGTAAGGTGTGCTTTGCGTAAGGTGTGCTTTGCATAAGGTGTGCTTTGCGTAAGGTGTGCTTTGCATAAGGTGTGCTTTGCGTAAGGTGTGCTTTGCATAAGGTGTGCTTTGCATAAGGTGTGCTTTGCATAAGGTGTGCTTTGCGTAAGGTGTGCTTTGCATAAGGTGTGCTTTGCGTAAGGTGTGCTTTGCGTAAGGTGTGCTTTGCGTAAGGTGTGCTTTGCGTAAGGTGTGCTTTGCGTAAGGTGTGCTTTGGGTAAGGTGTGCTTTGCGTAAGACATGCTTTGCGCGCTTTGCGTACGACGCGCTTTGCGCAGGACGTGCTTTGCGCACTTTGCGTAAGATGCGCTTTGCGTAAGACGCGCTTTACGCAAGACGTGCTTTGCGTAAGACGTGCTTTGCGCACTTTGCGTAAGACGCGCTTTGCGTAAGACGTGCTTTGCGTAAGACGTGCTTTGCGTAAGACGTGCTTTGCGTAAGACTCGCTTTGCGTAAGACGATCTTGCTGGTCTTACCTCCTTCTCCATGTTTCCTTCTTGATGTGTGTGAGGTAAGTTTTTCTCCTGTAACTTCTCTTCCTCCTCCCTTCTTTCCCTCTTGGATCTATTGATTCCCAGTCAATTTGCCTACGATTCAAATCTCTCATTACTAAGAACTTTCCGCTCAATCTAAGTGATAATTCAACCACACTTTGTACGATACTCTTCGCTCGCATGCGTTAAACAAGGCCAAAAAATCGTCGTACTAGAACATAGAAGCAGCTGACGAAAGTGACATACTGTCCCGTTTTCCGTTTTGGGTCCTCTGGCAGGTTAGGAGAGACTACTTTAAATTAACCGTTTTCTTGACCATAGGGAAACCTTTAGCAGGACGGACTGGTTGATAGGCCTTAAGTCCAACACTAAATAACGAAGAACATTTGGATCGCACCCAAGTAGTTCGGACGCATACCAGCCCAAGCCACGGTTTCAACCAGGGCGCTTATCAGAGATAATGACGGCCATGACGCTCACTAACCGAACCGGTTCCAGGACCTGGCCACAAGACTAAATACGAACACACAAAAAAAAAGTGAACAAAAGGAACAGGCGCTGCTCTGGAAAACCCTAATAGCCTGTTGGTTGGTTGGTTATAATGTATCTGTTGCTCTAATAAAGTCAATCACAATATTGATAATGTTAATGAAATCAATTTCCCTGGTAATTTTGTATGTGGTAATCATGTCCCTTCTAACTCGTCAATCTTTTTTTATTTTTTTATCGTTTATTAGACATCCCCATACCCATCCCGTGGACGGTGGAGGACCCCATACCCATCTCGTGGTCGGTGGTGGACCCCATACTCATCCCGTGGGCGGTGGTGGGCCCCATACCCATCCCGTGGGCGGTGGTGGACCCCAAACCCATCCTGTGGGCGGCAGTGGGCCCCATACCCATCCCGTGGGCGGTGGTGGGCCCCATACCCATCCCGAGGCGGAAGCGGATCCTAATACCCATTCCATGGACGGTAATAGATCCCCATATCCTTTTCCATGCCTTTGTGTCCAGCCTTCTGCTCTCTACAACTAGTTACATTACTTTGTACTTACCCGACTTAAATTAGAGTTAAATTACTTGATCTATTCTCTCAGTTTGTCAAGGCTATCTTGTAGTCTTCTTCTATCTTCCTCCGTCTTGATCCTCTTCATAAATTTTGCACAATCTGCAAATATTGAGAGGAATGAGTATTTTCATTCTGGAAGATCCTTTACATATATAAAGGAACAGGAGAGGTCCCTTATCCACTGGAGCCCATTGCATATTTCCTCCAAATTATGCACCAGCCTCCTATATATTTGAGTACAAGCATGTTTTACAGTACATATTTCGAAATACATATACGTATATATAATAGAGGAACGTATCAGACAGCAACTGCAGGTACATTTCCTCATCACAGGGGGCAATGGCAAGCAACATTAGCACCCACAGCACAAGATTTTCCCAGACCACCTCTCATCCTGCAAGAAAACACGTTTATACCTTTTTACCGAGCCTTTTGGGCTCTATATACGTATGAAGTGTGCTTCCACCACCACCACCACCTTCGCCTCTTAATGCATTCCATTTGGAGACTCCTCTGGCACTATAGATAAATATTTTTAATGGATCTGTATCCCATTTCAGTATGCCAGTTGGCATCTGTACTCGCCTAATTGTGCTTGCGGGGATTGAGCTCTGGCTCTTTGGTCCCGCCTCTCAACCAACTCAACTGAGAGATGTCACACGTGCTGAAATTAAACAACCTGTCCTCTTGCAAAGAACGTCGCATTTCGCTCGTACGCGTTACATTAGACCAAAAATTGTCGTAGTAGAAAATGGAAGCGGCTGACGAAAGTGACGTACTTCTCCCGTTTTCTGTTTTGGGTCCTCTGGCAGGTTAGGAGAGGACACTTTAAATTTGTCCGTTTTCTTGATGTTGGGAAAACCTTATTAGAACGGGTCGAGCCGGTCGGCCGAGCGGACAGCACACTGGACTTGTGATCCTGTGGTCCCGTGGTCGATCCCGTGCACCGGCGAGAAGCAATGGGCAGAGTTTCTTTCACCCTATGCCCCTGTTACCTAGCAGTAAAATAGGTACCTGGGTGTTAATCAGCTGTCACGGGCTGCTTCCTGGGGTTGGAGACCTGGTAGAGGACCGGGCCGCGGGGACACTAAAGCCCCGAAATCATCTCAAGATAACCTCAAGATAACGGGTTGTTTATTTACCGTATTTCACTGTGCATTAATGATATCATGTCTATGTCTCTTGTTAGAGATGTTACCTTGGAACAAGTACATACTAGAGCAAACGTGGAACAAGTACATACTAGAGCAAACGTGGAAACTAGAGCAAACAAAATACAAACTAGAGCAAACGTCACATTCAGCGCCTCAGAGTACAGCTACATGATAGAGTACAGATACATAATACAGTATACGTAGATATTAGCGCACATATACGTCATAACGCACAGGAACGTATCGGAGAAGAGCCACGGGAGGACCATTTCCCCATCACCCCGACAGTGATCAGGAACAGCAGGGGCCCCACGTTCAATATTTTCCCAGACAGCCACCACACCTGCAAGAAGGTTTGGTCTGGCTTGTCTTCCAACTCTCAACTCCTCCCCCTCCCCTCTCTCCCGCTCTCAATCTCTACCAGTCATTCTCCCCCCCCCCCTCCACCCTCCCTCCCTCGCTCCCCCTCTTTCTCTCCCCACATTCCGAGCTCATTTACAGCTTTTTCTCCACTCCCCCCCCCCGTTCTCACCAACACCCTCCCCCCCACACTTTTTTGCGTGCGAGAAGATGCTTACACACGCACAGGAGACAATGAGACAGAATGAAAGCATTATAACGTATTGGTGGGACGTCTTGGGGATTTCTTTCGCAATTGTGGTCGGAGGCTCTAGGTAAACTTGTGTGTGTGTGTGTGTGTGTGTGTGTGTGTGTGTGTGTGTGTGTGTGTGTGTGTGTGTGTGTACTCACCTAGTTGTGCTTGCGGGAGTTGAGCTCTGGCTCTTTGGTCCCCACCTCTCAACTGTCAATCTGCTGGTATACAGATTCCTGAGCCTACTGGGCTCTATCATATCTACATTTGAAACTGTGTGTGTGTGTGTATGTGTGTGTGTATGTGTGTGTGTGTGTGTGTGTGTGTGTGTGTGTGTGTGTGTGTGTGTGTGTTCACCTACTTGTACTCCCATATTTGTGCCTGTAGAATTAAGCATTAGCACTTGGGTCCGGCCTTTCTAGCCACCCTTTCCACACACACACTACTGTCCTCCCCTTCTTCTTCTCCCTTCCACAACCCTACCCCCCACCCCAAACCTCCCTATCCACCTCCCTATCCACACTCCTAACCCATTTCTCCCCCATCTTTACCATCACTGTAACCATTGTCCCTATACACTTCCTTGACCATTTATACCAAATGGCTTCCCCCTTAAAATGCTAAATACAAAAGTCTATGGCCTCAGGACTGAAAATTTCACATCTACAGATTTCTCGAAGTGGCATAGACTATTGTAAACAAGTCTATGGGAATCACAACCGATATTTCAGATTTGACCATGAAAATCGTACGGGGTGGGGTGGATGTTTAGATGCCGACTTTTCCTAAAGTTTGACACTGTGGCCGACCCCGACGTAGACCGTCTGAAGGGAAACTGCTTAAGGAACAGGGCGGCGACGAGCGACGCGGCGGGAGAACCACTTCAGGCGATGGGGAGACCCACTGGGACTTGTTCCTGTTTTTGCTCCACCAGAATTTTTCTCAGTGGGAAGCGTGTTCGATGTTATCACGCTCGGATTTCGAAAGATTTTTCAAGCCTTCAGGTACCTGTGACCTTTGTGAGAGAGAGAGAGAGAGAGAGAGAGAGAGAGAGAGAGAGAGAGAGAGAGAGAGAGAGAGAGACAGAGACAGAGAGAGAGACAGAGACAGAGACAGAGAGAGAGACAGAGAGAGAGAGAGAGACAGAGACAGAGAGAGAGACAGAGAGAGAGAGAGAGAGACAGAGACAGAGAGAGAGACAGAGAGAGAGAGAGAGAGAGAGAGAGAGAGAGAGAGAGAGAGAGAGAGAGAGAGACAGAGAGAGAGACAGAGAGAGAGACAGAGAGAGAGACAGAGAGAGAGACAGAGAGAGAGACAGAGAGAGAGAGAGAGAGAGAGAGAGAGAGAGAGAGAGAGAGAGAGAGAGAGAGAGAGAGAGAGAGAGAGAGAGAGAGAGAGAGAGAGAGAGAGAGAGAGACAGAGACAGACACAGAGAGACAGAGAGACAGAGAGACAGAGATAACCGGGAGAGTTACGCAAGACAGTAAGTCTTGGGGTAAAAAAGGCTTACCCAAGACTACCTGGGTCTAACCGGCCTCTAACCGGTCCTCGCGATTAGTACAAATCCCCCAACGGCCGAAATATGACGTACCATAAATTACAGTGACTCGCAGCCATATTGACGGGGGTGTCCCATTTCCTAACTATCCATTAGGATGGCTTCGAGCAATTGAGTACATGACGTTTAAGCCATTGTGTCAACACTAACTTACAGTTGTTGTGTCTTTATAGATTCAGCTACTCGGAACCTGTTCCAAGTAGCGCGGGCTATGGTGAGCCCGTAACTTACCCGGCACAGGAGCGGGGCAAGTAGCACTAGCTATGGTGAGCCCGTAGTGGACTTACCTGTTCAACCCGTTCTCGCACTTTCGTATAGTCAATATTGACTTATTAAATACGTGCATATGTGACATACTTAACATACTAGTTTACCTTGAAAAGCTTCATAGAAAACACCGACCTTACCTAACCTTCTTAGTATGTTAAGATAAGCATCTTGCTTCGTAATTACAATTATTACTAAACTTATTATAGGTATAGGTTAAGTAATAATTGTAATTACGAAGCAATAAAATGCTTATCTTAACATACTAAGAAGGTTAGGTAAGGTCGGTGTTTTCTATGAAGCTTTTCAAGGTAAACTAGTATGTTTAGTATGTCACATATGCACGTATTTAATAAGTCAATATTGACTGTAAGAAAGTGCGAGAACGAGTTGACCTGTTCGAACCCTGGCCTGGTCATCGAGTTTTGAAGTGATTTTGTGGGGGGGGAGGGAGAGGGACCCATTCAAGAGAATACACATAGGAGGAATGCAAGTGTAAAACATATTAATATCTATTTATTCACTAAACGAGGTTATTAAACAAAAGAAATAGTCAAGATGTTCCCCCAGAACAGTCTAAGAGCAGCACGTAAGACAGACCCACGACCACCCTCCAGGTCGTAACATGCTCCACCTGCACAATATCATCTTAGAGGGGTTATATCTTTTTATCACAGGGTCATTAACCCAGGGGGTCATTGGGTCATTATTACAGGAGTCATTTAGTCCATCATTGTTCGTGTTACTTCTCAGAATATCATCTTTGTCCTGGGGACAATAATAGGAAATTGCATCTTGTGAACCACAATTACATTGTATCTTGTCCTGATGCTGTTAATGCATTTCTAACAGCAAGGGGGGGGGGTGGGAAGGGGGTGTGGAGGGGTAGGGGGGGGAAGGGGGTAGAGCGCTGCTAACTACCGTAGTTAGGGAGGAAAATGAAACAAAGGGTTTTCTGAGAACCCGGATCTCGAATTCTTTAGAGAGGTCAGACTGTCGCCGTCTATATGGCCCGAAGGGCTGGCCTGGGTGTGTGTGTGTGTGTGTGTGTGTGTGTGTGTGTGTGTGTGTGTGTGTGTGTGTGTGTGTGTGTGTGTGTGTGTGTACTCACTTAGTTGTGCTTGCGAGGGTTGAGCTCAGGCTCTTTGGTCCCGCCTCTCAACTGTCAATCAACTGGTGTACAGGAACAAGTGTACTGGACCCCAGTACAACCACCACCCCGGACCCCAGCACAGCACCCTGGACCCCACGGCTTGCCACACGACCCCAGCACAGCATCCCTGGACCCCAACGGCTGACCACTGTTCATCGCGCCGTGTAACAGCCAACTGGGAGTCGAACCCACGGGCGGCGGAGGCTGTGGAAAATGAATATATCTGAACAAGAGTCTCAAACATAGATACGCCCACAATCGGGGGAGAGAGACCCCCCCCTTACCGAGTATAGAATCTACCGTAGTATCTACATAATCTACCATTAAAAATGTTTAAACCACATATACCACAGTAAATATGTGTAAAGCCAAAGCTGACTCAGGCAGAATCCGACCTCCAAGAACGAACCGACACTCGAGAACGCCGGATTCCACAAACTTCACAAAAACGCAACCGCAGAGATGACTGACGTCACGCCTTGTCTCATATAGTCCTCTAGTCAACGTTCAATATAACGCCAGAAAACTGATAGGTAATGAAACACCGGAGATGAACGATACTTTGTGCAATGCGGAATTGGTGAGGCTACGGAGGAATTCCGTCATGCACTAGGATGAATCATGAATGATTCGTGTTAGGATTTCACGACGTTATCAGTGGTCTATTACCTGTCACACGTGCTCTATTATCTGGTAATAGACCACGCTCTACCGTAGTATCTGTTACTACAATAGAGCGTGTTCTATTATCTGTTACTACGATAGACCGTGGTCTATTGCATACTGTTGGTACAGGAGCCCTGACGACGCAAGCGCAACATGTTCCGGCATAGGGTAAAACACACAGCCTCGCGACCATATTCAAAGTATACACTATACAAAGTATACATATACACTAACCCCCCATCCCCCTTTTGGAGTAACCCGAGGAGAAAATCCCCGACCTGAACCCACCCCTGGAAGCCTATCAACCCCCTAGTGACCCCAGACGACATAAGATGCCACGCGGCTTGTGCAATCGAACGCGGCCAAACTAAAGAATTCGCAAAACAAGGAGCCTGCAGCCCGCCACCTCTAACCCCTTTGGGCACACCAGAATCCCACAGGACCCGCCAAAACTTCTCGTAGGCTCCCGCCAGACACACACAGTTTCCCCGGCTCCAAAAATCCAACAGGAAAACCGACAAATCTATGAACTTTCCTCTGTCGTTCGTAAGTCTGGCCATAACGACGGTTTTGGAAGCCAATGACCAAATGGCCTCAAGCATCACTGTAGTCCCTAGACCGAGCTGGTGCCCAGAGAAGTCTGAACGTCGTCAAGGCTGAACCAGGAGTTCTCTCTCACGTATACAACTTGGGAACAAAATTAGCATCATTTAAATTATGTATATACAGCCAAAAAGAAGCTTGCTAACCGCACTACTGACACACTACTTTTGCCCGAAACGCATTGCGTAATAGTGGCTTTAGGCATTGTATGTACTAGCTCTATCTATATATCAATCCATTAATGTAACATCACTTGTATGTATATACCTTACCTGAATAAACATCTGAATCTGAATCTGAACACACAGGCAAGGGAGCGGGGAATGGGCGGCATCACAGTAGCAGCAGCCGGCTCACCAAACTAGCAGTTACAAAACTCACACAACAAGTCAAGAAATATAGTAATCAGGCAGCAAAATACTGTATAATAAAATAGAATACACGCGTATATTCAAATATTCGAATACACGCGAATATTCCAAATACTACAGAATGAATTACCTTGTAATATAGCTACCTATTATCGAGGCCATACAGAGAAAACGTCAATAAGGCGACACTAATATTTTGTTGCTAGTCGCAATATTTCACGAATTGGTCCATTACTTCGACCAAAATAGGTCGTCAAAAAAGCAACCTATTATGTCGGGGGTGGCTATACTTGGCAATACTATTTTTAAATATGTATATACATTATTACACTGTATAAATAGTGTTTCCACTGAACGATACCAACTGGTAAACTGATCCATATATTCAAATTCAAAAGCAAAAGCTTCATTCATAAACGATAGTACATTTATAATTGGGATGGTTTCCATAGAAACAATCATTCAAAGCACTCCAAACGACGCGTGGAGCAGAGACATTGGAGGTTGACCTTGAAGGGTTATTCTCACGGTTCTTACCTCTGAGGAACAGCCAATTAGCGAGTGTAACGTCTCCATGAAATATAGACCAATGGGTTCAAGGCCGTGCCATAAAATATCAACCCATTATCCTGCAAATGGTTGTGAACGATCTCGGGAGGATATACCCAGGGCATCAAGTGCCTTTATATACATATGATCCAGAAAATAATATAGAACAAGATATGAATGAACTATAACACAGGAGTAATGATATGAATTTTCCGTAGCCTCGCCCACGTGACACAGCGCAGCTGGTGGGAGCGTCCTACTGGCCCACTACCCCTTGGGTCGGCTATCCGCCAGGCTCCCCCCAACCCCTTCTCCTTCACTATCCTCAGGTGTTCTGTCCACCAGACCCTCCCTCCTCTCCTTACCTCGGTGTTCTATTCCCTACTGAATTATGGTAACGACACAGGAGACCAGTACGAAAGACGCGATGGCTGACACGAATGGTAGATGAAGAGAGAAAGTAGAAAGGAGGAATAGGGAGGGAGGGAGGGAAGTACAATGGAAAGAACAGTGGAGGAGATAAGAGGATAAGAACAATGGAGGTAAGAACGAAGGGAAGAACAAGGAATAAGGAGAGGGAGGAGAAGGGAGAAAAAGGGAAACGATAGGCAGAGTGATTTTCGCTATTTCCAACAAATATTTTATAATTGGTTTATTTTAATTAATATTATTATATTAACATGAATTGCTAACTATGTTAGGTTAGGTTTATCCTATATTTCTACGTTAATTTTAACTCGAATTAAATAAAATAATTTATAATGCAAAGCGTTATCATTTCATAAGAAAAAATTAGAGCAATACATAATTTTAGGTAAACTCAGCTTGTTAGGCAAATCGGGCCTTGCATACTAGGCCAAGCAAGAGATGGTTGATCAAACCTAACCTAACCTATCCTAGCCTAACCTAACCTTACCAAACATAACTCAAGTCATTTTTGTTCTTAATATAATAATAATAATTGAAATAAATCAATTTACAAAAAAATATTAGAAAATAATGAAAATGCATGCCTGTTAGATAATTTCGATTTGTCTAACAGGCAGAGTGATTTTCACTAAACAAAAATCAAATGGGTTTATATGAATTAATATAAATAATAATATTAGGAATATAAATTGCTGACTTAGGCTAAGGCCATATTTCTATAATTAGCTTTAACTCTAAAAAAAATCACATAATAGAAAGCTTTACCATTCCATAACAAAATTAAAAAAAAAATGCTTCTTTCAGAATAGGAAATTACTCTTAGTACCGTACAGCTGATCGTGACGTCATGCCACCACCTGTTAAATGTAAACATTGCAGCCTTGCCGGGTCAAACACCGCTGCCACCTCCTCTATGGCACACATTCCCCCTTCTCTATGGCACCTATGCCACAAAAGGTGACCCATAATCACCATCACACTGGAGGCACTCCCCTAGGAGGCCATTCTGCCCTGTGATAAGTGAGATAGAACAGGAGACTCAAGGAATGATAAGACACATCGACTTCTTCACCTACTACCAAATTACTGCTCAAACACGCAAGCTGGACAATGGGTGGGCCTCTCCTTAAACCGCTAAATACCCGTGGAGTTAAGCTACGTAACCCCCGTGAGATAATTCTTACCAATTAAGGAGATATATTGAATTATAAACGCCGGGCGTCGGCCGACGTCGTCCCCGTAGCTGGGAGGTTTGGCTCTGGCGGCGTCTGACGTCCCAACTCAGGCCCTCGACACACATTATTGTTAATTATTCTGTTAATTAACAATTCTTTCCCCCTACAACTAATGCAATTAATATGTAATACATTTAACTCGAGAGTCAAGTAACTAGTTCCCCTCCTGACGAGCGTGTTACTGAATAGATTAATAAATCCCTCGAATTTATTCTAACCAAGAACCTACGATTAGAAAACGGGACATCACATCCATTTTGCAAGCCACAGTGATTTAGTATAATAATTTTAGGCCTTTTGGTAGATTTATATGTCAAAATGCGTTGTACTGTTCGAGAGGCCGGGTTGACCCCGAGATCATGGAGAACAGAAGCACACATATACAACATAAAGTTTAATATCGCAATAAACACTGTTCATATGGAAACATTTCAGCTCCCTCCACCTTGCCTTGCCTGGTGAATTTATTTTTATTTATATATTTATTTATATACAAGAAGGTACATTGGGTTTGTGAGGATACATAGCATGGCGTTTACATTCTTGTAAAGCCACTAATACGCGTAGCGTTTCGAGCAGTAATGACCCTTTAAAACTTCTCACTAGCAAGGGAGAAATTTGATCCAAGTATATCAAACTATTTATACTTCACTAGCCTACTCGCCAACTTCAAAACATCATGGAACTCTACTTAACTAGTGTAACTTAAATTAAAACTGAACAAAAGCACAGGCTACTACCAATTAGAAAACCATTTTGTTACTTTAAAAATCAAATGTTATGACCACAAGGATCTAGAGGAGTGACTATAGGCTTGCGCACCACATTTAATTTCTCGAAAATCGGGTTTATAAATCATAGCACTGCCACAGAAACATCATGATGCAGTAAATCATTTTAAAATATCACTTGAAGCACACATACCTAGATAAAAGTAAAATAAATATGTACATGTTCCTTATATGTACCTACTGCAAGTCCATCAGCTTAGAAAGGTGAAATAATTGTTTTAGCTCTTTCAACCTTCTCACCCCGTTGAGTACAACGTGTTTATATATATTTTTTTTCAACATTAAAGGCGAAAGTGGTTGGGTCACTGTCCTTTTTCTCCCAGTCTTTACCTGATAACCTGAGTCATATCGTACCGGATTTCCTTCACTCCATTTCCTGGCTATCTACCCCTGCTAACCAGTATAATGGGGATTGAACTCAAGCCAACCCATGCCAATATGTAAACACATATCTATAATAATATACAGACCAACACTCATGCTAATACACAGCCCAACACCATACCAGTTCTCACATTTGAAATTCATTAATTTTTAGGCTATTGATTACAGCGTTAAAATTTCGGTGCCTTTTCTGAAATTATAAGAATGCTGACGCTTTTGCATAGTGTCCAGTGGCTTATGTAGTCCATGCGCTTCTGGTTACGCCAAACCCCTTCAAGTTTAACGTTCGTTAAATGGCGTTAACGAGGATGTGTAATGGGCGTAATTGTCGTAGTTGACGCATAGGGCGTTCTGGGCCATTTGGGAATGGTGGGGCGTAGTTGACGCAAATGAAACTAGATGCCTTGGGCATAGTTGACGCAGAGGGTGCGTGGAACGACTTGGAATGATGTGCTTAGCTGACGCAGTGATACCTAAACCTTTTAACATCAGTCAAAACTCCTCAGCTTCTAAGAGACAGACAGACAGATATGCAGGCGATGAGTCACAATAACGTGGCTGAAGTATGTTGACCAGACCACACACTAGAAGGTGAAGGGACGACAACGTTTCGGCCCGTCCTGGACCATTCTCAAATCGATTATGTGTGTGTCGATTGTGACAGACAGACAGATAGACAGACTCCGCAATGCATGAAATAACGTACTGACTCACAACTTCACAACTCCATCTAAAAAAAAACACTTCGTGGGAGCCTGACCTTTGGATTTTACCTACAAAAACTACAGAACTAGGATATAACACTCACTCCTAAATTGCGTGTGAAATTCTAGCTTCGCCTGTCCTTTACTCAGAGAGTGGTGACAGAGACCCAGACGGCTCACAGACAGGCAGACGGATACAGAGACAGATAACAATGGCAGCAAAGCGAGTCAATATAAATTCTTAAAACAAAATTCAACTATGGTGTTTTGAAAGTGCCATATTCTGGCATGAAAGCTAACCCGTTTTGCTAAGCCTCACGAAACAGTATCCAGACAGACGGACAGTCAGACAGATTGACTGACAGAGAGACAGACAGTCAGGAAAGAGTAGAGACAGAGACCAACCGCACCTCGAAACTTGCTCGTGGACACTACGACGCCATTGGAGTCCAGTCACACTTCCTACGACACACATTCCCAGAAAAAACGTAGTGTCTGCGAATGACGAGCTGTAGTAGAATCAGTTGTTGCCTGGGAGTGTATTGTGGGAGATAGTGTGGCGTGAGTGGGCTTCGTGGGAACAATTAGGCTAGAAGTGTGTGTGTGGGAGAGAATCTGACGTCCACGCGTCAAACGCCTAGTAGATAAAGCTAATAAAATAACTATCTTTATCTCTAGCTAGTAAAGCTAGAGATTATTTCTTTGTGATCTCTTTTTTTCCCACTGGCTTACTCCCTATTTCGAAATTGATTTGTGTGTATATATATATATATATTTTGTATAATATATTTATATATTTTTTAACAAGTATAATGATGCATAAAATGTTCTAAGACTGGATGGAAAAAACTTTCTTGGGTATACTCATTTCCTCTATTATCTCAACACATGAAGAGACAAATATACTGAGAGGTGTATTGACCCTGACTCGTGGTGTAAGCGCCCTCCACAGTTTACTCTGGTCGGTAAACTAAGTCCAAGACTAAGGTATACTTGCTGCTGGTTCAGTATCATTTCCTCCCACCATTGGGGTATACCTTTTGAAATCAAAAAGGTAATAGATTTATTTAAACACGAAAGACTACTTTAAATAGACAAGATAGAGCCAAATAACATCGGGTTTGGCAGTGAACGCGTTCAGAGAAAATTCTTTCCAACATTAACTAGAATTAAAAACTGTGTTCCTTATTTAAATGTTGACACATTATCTAAATTATAAACATAGAGAAATATTAATGTTACTAGTGATAATAAAAAGAAGAGAAAAACGTCTTTTCTTCGTGTTATTGTTATTAATAAAAAAAATAAAATCGAAAGCCTATTTCTCTTTAAAACCCTACACCTTAAAAATTTTGGATTTTGCTCCACTAGTGTTCAAAGAAAACACTAAAATAAATTACAAACTAAGTAAAAAATATATGATCTTGAGATTGTTTCGTTCATTTAGATTTTTATTCAAAATAATTAGGCAATCTTTTTTATAATTACAAAGTAAATTTTACCTTTTATACATCATTAAACAATGTCTCTAGATTGCATGTTATTTACTTTACCTGAATTTACCTGAAGGCCGCCATCTCTGGTTGCCCTTGACGGGGACAGGAAGCCGGCGACAAGTCAAAGGTTACGCCCGCATATTTTCTAAGGATTTTTTTTTCCACAAAAATTTCGAACTGTTGTAATATATTGCAGACTTACGGCTTTAGCGGAAAGACAGTTCCATATATTTATTATCCTTTGAGTGAAAAACCATTTCCTATTTCCTGTCTTAAATTGTGGTTTGAAGAGCCTGAAGCTGCTGCCTCTTGTGAGGGTTACTTTTGATCTTTTCAAGAAGTGGTCTGAATAAATGTCTTCCAATTTATTGATAATTTTCAAGGTTTCGATGCGATCAGCCCTGTCATGTCTGGTTTCTTGTAATGTTAATTCCGCGCCTCTCAATTGTTCCTGGTATCAATGATAACTTAATTCTAGAATGACTCCACCACTTGGGCTGGACGGTAGAGTGACAATCTCGCTTCACGCAGGTCGGGGTTCAATCCCCGATTGTCCAATAAGTGGTTGAGCACCATTCCTTTCCCCCTCGTTCCATCCCAAATCCTTATCCTGACCCCCCTTCCCAGTGCTATATAGTCGTAATGGCTTGGTGCTTTTCCCCGCTGATAAATCCCTTCCCTCTGTCCAATTCCAGCTCCTTGTCCTCACCTCCATTTCAACTGCTATACACTTAAAATGTCTTAGTGCTCTCTCCTGATTATTTGTTAAACATTTTTTGTCTATTGTAACATTTGAATATTTGTATAATAAGTGATTGTTCTAATATCAGTTATTATTTTTTTTTATTTTAAATGCGTCATAAAACTGTTTTATACTTAATGTTTATTTATTAAATGCACTTTTGTCTACCCTGTTATGTACAAAATCCTAATTATATACCTTCTTTATGTACACTTTTATGTACAAAACTCCCTCCTCATGAGGGATATATATATATATATATATATATATATATATTATATATATATATATATATGTATATACGCGTGTGTATGTGAATTAAACAATACACACAAACAAACTTTACATTTGGTAAGACACTCAATATAATTTAAAGAGAAACGCACAGGAAGCATTTTTTATGTTTCTTAGTCAAACTTGTTTGTGTCAAATATCTTATGCAACACAGTGGCGCCTGAGGATGGGTGTATGTCTGGTGAGGAGTCCTGTGTCCTCCCCCTGTGCTGTGTCCTCCCCTGTGCTGTGTCCTCCCCTGTGCTGTGTCCTACCCTGTGCTGTGCCCTACCCTGTGCTGGGTACTCCCCTTGTGCTGTGCACACCCCTCTTCCTTCCCTGGGCCCGGGGCGGGGTGTGAGAGCCCAGCTGGGAGCAGATGAGCACTTACGCATGTTTATTTACTAGGCTAAGCGTGCGCGCGCCCACGTGTCTCGCCTTGAGAGAGAGAGATCGAGAGAGAGAGAGATCGAGAGAGAGATCGAGAGAGAGATCGAGAGAGAGATCGTCGAGAGAGAGAGAGAGAGAGAGAGAGAGAGAGAGAGAGAGAGAGAGAGAGAGAGAGAGAGAGAGAGAG